GCTTCATAACCACATGACAAAAAGGTAACCTGGACAGAAGAATAAAATCCCACAAATTGTTGATTGTTACCTTTCTCAAACATATTTTAACAGTTATCATCCCTGAGCTGCACTGGAGTTTGTGTGTGAAAGAGAAGGACTTTACATCTTGTCTCTCATTGTCTTTTTGGAAGGGAAGCATGTCAGACCTTAATAGGTTCATGCTACCGAGTCCATTTCAGACCAAGGTCATAATTACAGGTCCATTGAGACCTCTAGTGGCAACATATTCGTTGGACCCAATCTCCTACAGGAGAACAGAAAAACAGAATTTTTTTTTTGTTTCAAATATGTTGATGTTTACCAGGATAGCCTAAAACACCTTTTTTACAAAATCTATAAATTTTTGTTATAACTAGAAGAGATACTTTTTATGGTACTTTAATGATTCCTCATCCTTCATTAAAAGGGTTACTGCATTTTTAAAAAAACAGGTTCTTGTTTCTCCACGGTCAAACGGTTTTTTCGCAAGCCAACCTTTTTTAATTTTTATCTATATGATTTTTGCCTCAGATTTAATTATCTTTGTAACCTAAAAGTGCTCAACTACTGAATGTGAGACTGCACACTCTGACAAGCAACCGTCTTTGTAGCTCAGACAAAAATGCTCACTTTACACTTAGTGTCTATGGAGCGCCTGTCAATAGCACTAATGTATGTTACTGGGCATGAAAATGCCACTGTATTTTGAGTGATACGGTGACTCAGAAAATGTGATATTTAATCTGAGTCATGCAAAGTACAAACTGCTAGTTTTCTCCCTGTCAACCCTCCCCCTGCTTTCTGAATGCTTAGCTCACACAAACCTAAGTGGATTTTTAAAAACATTAGTGTTGTAAAATTTGGAACGTTTAGCTATGCTACTAAACCATTTGACTCAACAATGTCAATTTGGCAAATGCTGTCTTTCCTAATTGTTTGTGCAGTTCAGCTTTTATTGTGGCAAAAACAGACTTGCCTGCTATTTCTACTAAAATGCTATCGTTATGTTCAACATTAGAAAATGAGTCTGAAATTACTTGAGTACACTATGTGGCCAACTGTTTCTCTATGCTGCTTGGTTCCAATTAAGAGGAATCCTAATGTTAAGCATACAATGATGTTTTAGACAATAGTGAGCTTCCAGTGTTGTGACAACAGTTTGGGGAAGGCCCTTTCATGTTTCAACATGACAGGGCCCCTGTGCATTGAGCAAGATCCATAAAGAAATGTTTTTCTGAGTTTGGAGTGGAAGAACTTTACTGGCCTGCAGAGAGCCCTGACCCCAACCCCATCCAACTGCTTTGGGATGAATTGGAAGCTGACACTGAGCTGGGTTGTATCAGCCAACCTCACATTGTGGCTAAAATGGTGCAAATCTCAGGTTTCAAAAATCGTGTGGAAGGTTTTCCCAGAAGATTGGAGGCTGTTAAAGCAACAGAGTAATTCCCTCATGATTTTCAAATGAGATGTTAAACAATAATATACGAGTTTAGTATCCCTGTGTCCATATACTTTTGGCCATATGGTGCACTTTATCTAACTGCAATGTTCACAGGCTGAGCTGTTACATTAAACTGCATTGCCTTGTGTGTTTCAGGTGGTGAATCTTCTTGCCTGCTTTCAGGAGTGGAAAGAAGACTTACATCTGCAAAAGATGCTGATGATCATCTGAACGCCTTTTAGGTAGATAAATGATAGTTAATAAGTCTGTACCCATCTGTGAACATGTGGTTTGGACTAGAAACCTGAAGGATGAAGAACAGACAAACAACAGAAGATGACAAGAGTCAGAAGCAGAGGGACCATGACTAGTTCTGGTGATGCTGTAGCAGCACGGAATGGTTTGTGGGTTACACTGAGATGCAGGCCATACTGTGCTGCCGCACTAAAGCCTGAATACACAACCTGGAAGTACCTAGCAGTTCTTGATTGAACCTGTTGCCCTTTTCTTCACTGTCTAAAGTAATGCCACATTGACAGTTGTTTATCTGATGATCAAAAGTTAGTTGGATTTGCCTTTCTCATTTGCTGGTTGCCTTACTGTAGCAGCACGTAAATATTGGAGTTAAGACTAGCTGAAGCCTCCAATATTGATCGTGCTGCTGAAGCAAAGCTGACCACACACAATCAGCGCAACCAACCATTAAGTGTACTCCAACCACCCTGGTGGTGCCAAACAGTGACTCACAGTGAGTGCTGCTTACAGGTACATTGTTTACACAGATCTTGAGTTCACCTCCAACACTACCTTGATTTAATACTGAAAATGTGTATACACTATATTTTTTTACATTTCACTGTTATGTCTGCACCTGGAGAAATAAAAAATTTAATTGGCTTTTGTCTGTAATGTGTTTTGAACGTGACATGCTAAACTTGCTGCAACATTATGCTGTCCATATAGTATATGGGCCTTTGATTCAAGTTGTACTAAAAGTGTTAGTTTTGTTGACATTGAAAATCAATGACATGGCTTTAAATGATACGGCCATACACAAAGACGAAATCGCACACATCACGGCCTGCATGGCCTTGCAGCGCCACCGGGATTTCTGTCCTGTTCAGCCTGATCGGCGACACACAGATGTGCTGCGGATTAAAAAAATATTACAATCACTATACTGTGGACTATATACTCGGCTTTTTTTGACATGTCGAAATGCATTCAGTTGATAAAAGTCAAGATATTTTGTAAAACCGATTTCTGTTCATCTTAAGCCGGTATTTTGCCCTATTTACTCGCTTACGACCCAGTCTTTTAGGCTATTGTGTATTATGACTGCTTTATTCTTACAAACCTATGATATATTCTGGTGGTCACTCTATTCTGCAACGTTGTAATGAATGATACGGTGTCTGTAACATGGCTAACAACCTCCATTTTAAGTGGTTTCTGACGGGAGCGTATTGCGGGCATCTCTGCTGTACCAGGACGCCCGGTGACGATAATCCCAAATCAGACTTTCCTAATAAAAATTACTAAATACATGTTTTACAAGCCTTTGGGAAGATGTGGCATCCGTTGGTAAATGTCTGGCTTTCATAAAGATTTTAGACCACAGACTTCATGTGACTCAAAATTAGATAGCAAGTGGTTGCACTTGTTAGTGGAAGAACACTGCTCTTCCTTTTGGCCTTGTAGGCCTTTTTAATGATAATTCAGAAATCTCCCATTTGTTTTCACCGGTAGATTAACTGGATTTATAGCACTGGATAAAGGTGAAATTTACGGAAAATTATATTGGCAAGAAAATGGTAAGATTTGGGCGCATTTTAGAATAATTTTTCCCCTAAGCACCAAGGCTTGCATTTTTTCCAAATGGAGAAATGTTAACATCAAAAATATATTTGATAACATTCAGGCCTTCATCGTTTTTAAAAAAATAATCCTGAAAATAATATGCATTATTTTATAATTCCATTGCTGCAAGATGGACTGTGTGTAAATTATTGTACACTTTTCTAAGTGTAGTAATTTAATTTTAAAGCTTTGTCAAATAGTTTGCGTATTATATTGTAAACAAAACGTAGAAACTCTCTTTATAGAGATGTACCTGAAATTCCACATTTTGTCTTCACGCCTGTTGAGCTTCATTTTTTGCTGTTGTGACTTTTACATATTTACCTGCTTTTGTATCGACCGTGTTTGTTATAATAACCTATATAATTCTGCAGTAAGGTATCCGTAGTTTGCGCTTGAACTTAAGTTTGCAACCACATTCCACAGAAAAAAAGAAAATGGACTTTAGTGTAAATGTATTCTAATGATAAGAAATAAGAAGGAAAAAGAAGCTTGAATCACGGGAATGATAAAACAACTCTTCGCTTTCATCACCATCCATCACACACTCTGACCCACAGTGTAAAAGTGTGCAAGAGTGCGGGACCTATCAAGTGACGTGATTAGACACTGGAAACACTAAATAGGCTATTCACTAATTATCTGGATATTTAGCCATCTTGATTCATTGAAGAGATGGTGACGTAAAGCTTATTTTTATTAACAGTCACCATAGGCCCACTTTTGATATGGTGATTCTTCAGAAAAGTCAGTTATACACAGTTATTCACACTACTTTTTCTTAATTTGGATTGAGTTAATGTTTTTCAGGCTATATTTAAATTTGCGTGCCGTGACAATTAAAATATTCATGTAGAGTGGTACATTTATTTCCATCCTATATTTGCCTGGCAACAGAAGGCTATATATATATATGTACATGCGTGCCATGACGTACGTCCTGAATTATGGTCAGTGCTGACATCACAGATTCACATTGTGCTGTGATTTTATGATTTTATTTTATTTTTCAAAATGTATCTCTGTTCAGGAGAATAATAAGGACACATTATCAATGCACAATTCAATGTTTGTCCTCTGATCTATTTTAATAAAGACCATTATTGGTGATAAGCCAAAAATCTTGTTAATAACTTCAATTTGCACACACAACTGATTTTAGGCTTACAAGTCAGTTTTCTAGTAATTCAGATGCATAGCAGAAAATAGGCCTACAGTGTACTTTAAGTTAACAGTCTGCAGATGTTTGACTTCATAGACCGGACAACTCATGAAACGAATGAGTCACATGAACCTCCGCAAATAAATCTTGTGTCGAAATAAAGTGACTGTCCAGCACGCGTGACAGTCATGCACCCTTTCCTGAGTTAAATCACCACTGATAGGGGAAATGCAGCAGTTTTTTTTTTTAAGGTTTCATAAAACAACATTCACAGCAAAGTGTGTTTTTTTCCCCCCCTCCTCTTGCACTGTCTCTGCAGCCTGGTAAATATTTCACACGGGCCCTGTTATGCAACGTTTGTAACCTTGAAGAGGTTGCAGCATCACTGTGGTGCAGACGCGTTCTGCGGGGACTAGGCCAGAGATTTCACTATATATTAATTTTATTTCTCACTTACTTAGTCCCTAAATAGTTGGCTAATTTGGCCTGTCACACTAAATAAAAACAAACATGAAAGTGAATTACATTTCTGTTTTATTTAGCCAATCAAGATCATCTCAGACAAGTGTAAATTTGTCATATCGTAATAAAAAAAGAGAAAACAGATTGCACATTCGAGGTAAGAAATATGATTCAGCGTCCATCTGATGTAAATGTAGCGTTGATTCTATAGCTTCATTGAGGTTTTAGTTTTGGCAAAATATATATATATACAAAAAAAATAACAGTAAACAAGAATTCACAAATATTCAGGTACATATCTGCCGCTACTTTAATGTCCCTCACAGGTCACTACTTGGATAACAATTTGTAGCTGTGTGTGCATGTCAAAGATGCCACAGGCTAGTAATTAAAACAATTTACAACTTCCAATAAAACTGACAGCAGAGTAAATTAAGTTCATGACACATTCCTGACCTGCAACTATTAAACTTGTGCACATGTCAGTCATTTCCCGCAGGTACACACCGGTGTGGGTAAGGTGCGAGGACACTGCAGGGAGAAATGGTTCAATCTGCGAGGGCACGTAGGCTGCAAGGTTGTGCGGCGGCAGCAGCAGGAGCAGTGTTGCCAGTAACAAACTCATAAATAAGGTGATCCATCTAGGCGCTGCCATCCGTGAGCCCCCTGCTCGGTAGGAGCCACTCTCGTGGGGGACTGAGATCTTGTCCACTTCTCTGAGCCGCAGTGAGTCCCACTTTTTAACATCGAAATTGCGCACAAGGGGACCGACGTCCATGTCTTTCCGAGAAGGCAGTGGGGTCTCCTTAAGGACTTTAAACTTCTCCCGAAACTCCTGCATCTGCTGCAGAAAGCACAGGGGGTCGGAGACGCTCCTGAAAGACTCGGCGATGCTGAGCGCCCGTCTCTGCTCCTCCATCGCTGCGCTCAGCTTTGTGATCTCCGGGTCGTATGCTTGCATCACCACTAGCTTCAGTGTTTCGAAATCGGAGAGGATCTCGTTCTTTTTGCATTCAATGGAACTGGTGAGTTTGTCGAAATAGTCGGTTACCTTTTCTGCATCCTTGGTCACCGACTGAAGCGCCCTTTTCTTACTGGCTTGTAGTGTCTCCAGGCAGGACAGGATATCTGCGCTCTGCCAGTTCTCCACCCCGCGAAGCAGCTCTTCAAACGCCTCCTTCTCTCGTTCATATGCCTCCTCCAAGGAGCAGAATTTATGCCCTTTGTGGTCATCTATTGTTGCGCAAAACCCACAAATGAGTTTTAAGTCTGTGGCGCAAAATATGTTTAGAGGTTGGCCGCAGTGTTGTTTACAAACAGACATCTTAGGCATAACCCTTATTTTGCTGTACTTCTCCACTATTCCGCGTAGAGAATAGTTGATCTGCAGACTGTTTGCGCCGTTGTGAGGGGTCTCTTTGCGGCATGTGGGACATTTGAAAGGTGTTCTGAAAGCCGGACCTCGGTTCCCTTCCAAGAGTCCCTCCAAGCATTTCTTGCAAAAGCTGTGTGAGCACAGCAAAACCCGCGGGTCCTCGAAGAGACCGCAGCAGATTGGGCAAGTAAGTTCCTCCTCTAGCTGCCTCCATGGTGTCCTGTAAAGACATTATCCAGGCGTCAAATCGATGCTTAATTAAAAAAACAACAACAAAAAACCCCCAATAAATCAGCACTTAAGAAAATAGTACTATACGCACCCACACTCAGGTACGCTGCCCCGTGAGGCAGCACAGGCAACACATTACACACGAATATGTTGTAGCATCGCAAAGGATACAGATTTTGCAGTCATGTTCCAGCTGTGTGTGGAGTATTCCCATCGTGAAAGTGAAACTGACTTGCATCGCTGTGCCCGCGTAAAAGGTTGGCACGGGCTCTGCCAAGGGCTCCGTTTGGCCATCTACCGTTAAGTAACATCCTGTTCTTTGGGGTTTTTCTGTAAACTACTGTAACAAACTTAAAACCGCGTCGCAAAACCAGGCTGGAAATAAGTCAAAATCGTTTATGACTTAATAGATACAAACTAAAACAGCGAACAATTTTCTCCTAGCTTTGTATTACAGATATAGCAGAACAGTGGTTAGCTAGTTGAGCCCTAAATTACCGCCGCCTAACCAATCCAATGCGACAAATTATCGACAAGTAGGGTACGCGTTATCGTTGCTCCTGTTGGCAAGGTACTGAAATGGGGCTGTGACAGATTTTGCAAGCGCATAGTAACATGCAACTACTGGACCAAAAGAATCACTCACCAGCTGCTGAGACGCACAGTGCAACGCAATCATGGCGCTTGTTGCTGTGCAGACTTCGCCCTTTCCGGGTAAAGAGTTAACCATTTGAGTGGCGCACAGAAAATTCAAATACACTGATTCGTCTGTATTTGCGCATACCTAAACCAAGGTGTGTATTATAACGCAACCAACACGAAAGCTACTGGCACTCTTGAGGTTTTTTTGGCCGCTTAATTGTGAGTATTGGGATGTGTACGTCTTGTCCCTGCTGGGTAACTTGCAGAGGATCCCTGACAGTCGATTGGGGGAGGGGCTGTTGCTATGCAAAACATTACAGCGTGAAAAACTGTCAGCTAGGTTTGAGTCCCAGCTTGGCATCACAGGGTTTTACACGGCCCCATTTCAGTCGCTTGTCTGGTATTTGTCAGTATAAGCATCTGTAAACAGTTAACACGACAACATGTGGAAGTGAAGGCGCCCAGCTGCATCATATAAAAAGTAAAATTCAGTGCTGTGTCGCACTTAGCAGAAAAGGGCCACATTATCTTGACACCGTGAGCGAGCAGAAACTGAGGAAGACTGACTTATATCAGCAACAACTTGTAGGTTTTATGTTACTGCCAGCTGCGTTCAGCCGCTCAGGGTGTTTTTCAGTTACGAATGGGTATAACCGAGTCAGCATTTGTCCACTAAACATTTGATATATTTTGTAAAACTCACTTTATGTTCACTTGTGGTTATGTAACATCGATATCCAATAGTTACTTGGTCACGTGTGGAAAATCTGACCTTGATTTTCTTCCCTTGTTTCCATGCCATCAGGAGCAACTGCCTATCTTAGGCCCTGTGATTGGATACAGTTGGGTAGCAGGGGCTTATGTATCGCCGACCTCTGCCGCCGTGTGTCGCTGTTGTGTCCGGGGAGCCTGATGTTGTGACACCATCAGCCCTCTTTGGTTTGATGTGTTTGTTTCCGGATGTAACTTAAAATTAGCTAGAATTGAGGCAAGAATGGCTGCGATGTTTACGTGTTGTTTAGGCTGCTGCGGAGATGGCGGGTCGGGACACATTCCTCTCAAAGAAATGCCCACTGTTCAGTTAGACACGCACCATATGGGTAAGTAAGTTTGTCTCTAATTCTGACAGTTGATGTTGACTAGCTGGCTGTGACATGATTCTTGGCTACTTCCGCCGTTACCATTAGCTAGCTAACCGATAGCTGCTCGCATTTTTGTTAACTTACCTATGCAATTAAATGTGTTTTTGGTATCATGTAGGGGTCGCAGCTGTGTGTTCCACCATTCCCACATAATATACATAGTACACATTTTACCACTTTGTTAAACACAGTGCGACGTGACAGACAGGGCGACTCGTGACATTTGAGCGTTTCGCTCCTGCAACTGAACTCAGGACTCAAGTGACAGCAATCAGGATAAACATTTTCCATTTCTTCCACTTACTAGGCTTTAAAGATCCCCTCTACACATGTTTTAAGACACACAAAGCACCATTATACTATAAAAGTACTATAATAAATGGTGTGTTTTTGTAGTTCAGTTACCTCAATCTATTTATAATCTATTTTGCCTGATTGAAACATTCAAAATGTCATATTATGCAAATCTCATTTGAAATTTGTAACTACTGGACACAAGATGACTTCTACTTCACTGAAACATGTCTATTTCCAGTGAATGTGCACTGGATGATTGAATACTGGACCACAACTGGTTTCCAAATTAGTTGTGATGTCAGAAAATCCTGCTCATATGTACACATCTTAAACTGAGATTTAAGGTAAGCATAGGAACTTCACAATATAGTAGATTCGTTTTAGAACAGTCTGCTAGTTTCAAACATCTTTTGCACTGTGGAGGTCAAACGTCCAAGTGAAGTAGCAATGAACAAGCTTTCCCCCCCCAAGCTATCAGACTTTTAAATTCATTCATCCTTAGCACTGCTCCATTGACTATATACCTGAACAAAATTATAAACATAACTTTTTGTTGTCCCCATTCATCAAAACTTTCTCTATGTTCACAAAAGGCCTAATTCTCTCATATTGTTCACAAATCTGTCAAAATCTGTGTTAGTGAGCACTTCTCCTTCGCTGAGATAATCCATCCACCTCACAGATGTGGCGTATCAAGATGCTGATCAGACACTATGGTTATTGCACAGGTGTGCCTTAGGCTGGCCACAATAAAGGGCCATTCGAAAATGTGCAGTGTCACTGTATTGGGGGGGGGGGGTCCGGAAACCAGTCAGTATCTGGTGTGACCACCATTTGCCTCACACAGTGCAACACATATCCTTCGCATAGAGTTGACCAGGTTGTTGATTGTGGCCTGAGGAATGTTGGTCCACTCCTCTTCAATGGCTGTGCGAAGTTGCAGCCAGGTCGAGACCCCGATGAGGAAGACGAGCATGCAGATGAGCTTCCCTGAGACGGTTCTTGACAGTTTGTGCAGAAATTCTTTGGTTATGCAAACCAATTGTTGAAGCAGCTGTCTGGGTGGCTGGTCTCAGACAATGTTGGAGGTGAAGATGCTGGATGTGGATATGGAGGACGTGGTCTGCGGTTGTGAGGCCGGTTGGATGTACTGCCAAATTGTCTGAAACGCCTTTGGAGACGGCTTATGGTAGAGAAATGAACATTCATTTGAACAGGCAACATCTCTGGTGGTGATTCCTGCAGTCAGCATGCCAATTTCACGCTCCCTCAAAACTTGCTACATCTGTGGCATTGTGCTGTGATGGAACTGTACATTTTCATGTGGCCTTTTGTTGTGGCCAGCCTAAGGCTCACCTGTGCAATACCCATGCTGTCTGATCAGCATCTTGATATGCCACACCTGTGAGGTGGCAAAGGAGAAGTGCTCACTAACACAGATTTTGACAGATTTGTGAACAATATTTGAGAGAAACAGGCCTTTTGTGTACATAGATAAAAAGTCTTAGAACTGTGTTGCATTTATAATTTTGTTCAGTGTAGTTTATTTCTGTTTACTATTATGATTGCTTTTATGTTATTGTCTGCTACGTAGCAGAAGGGAGTTACAAACTCAGTTTAACTTTACAAACCGTTGTAAAGTTAAACTTGTAACATAACACATTTTTGAATTGAGGGGGACTTGTATCATTGACCTCAGTTGTATTTAATTAATCTTTACTTTTTGACTTGGTTTCATCAGGGAAATACAACTGAAGCTTTACCTTGATATAATAAAGTGTTTATTGTTAGCATTAAAATAAAACATGACTTAAAGTTTTAAAGTATAAATTATTGTCCTGTTGAATAACCGTTGACTGAATCCCGTCCTTCTACACTGAGGAATATCCGGATTTTCGAATAACACCTGAACAGAATTCAAATCAAGTTGATTAATCAAGCCATCAAAAAGTAATCAGCAACAGCTTTGAGAATCTATTCATCATTTGTCAACTTTCTCTGTTTCCATTTTCTCAGATGTGAGGATTCATCTGACCTATGTGATTGCAAATGGAATATCTTTGGATTGTTGGTTAGAGAAAACAAGTCCTTTTGATGTTGTCGTCTTGGGCTCTGGGAAATAGTGATGGGCGATGTCACTATTTTCTGACATTTTATAGACTAAACAATGTTAATCAACAAAAAGAATCAGCTGATTGAGCATTTAAATAGTTGCTAAATTGGTTTTATGAATCATTATGTGTTTTTACTAAAAGATGTATTCTTGTTTTTGTTTTGCAGGCACAGATGTTGTCATTGTAAAGAGCGGCCGCAGGATATGTGGCACTGGAGGCTGTCTGGCCAACGCTCCTCTGCACCAGAACAAAAGTTATTTTGAGTTTAAGATCCAGTCCACTGGTAAGCTCTTGGCTTCTAGCTCCTGCCTTCTTTTCTTGCCAGATTAGAATTTTCTGGTGCATTCCTAGTGGTTGTTATTGATACTGACATGCTGCAGCTTTTAGCATCTACACCGTCTTGTGACTGCATGCTCACTGGTGAAATTCTGTTCCGTTACAGACAGTATTTGAAAGCACAAGAAATGTTCTTTCTTACGTATATGACCTTATGCAGAACTAATATGAAGTTTCTCCACACTAACCACTGACTGTACTTGCATTCAGTTGCAAATGTTGTTATGCATACACATTTTTTAATTCAGTTGGCCTTTTAATAAAGATAGGTTTTAGTCTCTGTGGTTTAAACCATGTTCTAAAAAAGCAGATACTCAGTGTTGTGCTTTGTGTTTAGGTGTGTGGGGAATAGGTGTGGCTACACAGAAAGTGAATCTCAATCAAGTGCCTTTGGGCAGAGACACAAACAGCCTTGTCCTGAGGCATGATGGGTCTGTGTACCACAATAATGAAGAGAAGAATCGTCTACCCGCAAACAGCCTTCCTCAGGAGGGTGACATTGTGGTAATAATGTGAATTTAAGTTTGATGACCTAATCTTTTGAATGATTAAGTGTTTGCTCGTAAAGCTAAAAATGAAGAACCCTTCTCTCTGAATCTGCATCTTGTCAAATAAGTAAGGACTGGCAAACATAAATTAACACAAGCCCATATGATACCATATGATACCAGTTTCTGTTTCAAAGATAAAGATTGTGATATCTGACATGGATGCTCAAATGATTTCCTCTTGGATGAGGCTGCGAGACCCACAATAGAGCATTTTTTCCAAAACACCTGGTTGACATCTATAGTCACATTGTATTGCTTGGTCTAATATGAGAGTTTGCCACATGTGCACCAATTTGCTAATGGATTCTGTTTATAAATCGTAACGGATTATTTTTTTATTATACTGAGACAACATGCACATGCAGACCTCTGTGTATCACTGTCAACTAACATGTCATTATCTGCACAACGTGGTGTTTGACACATTGTACATGACATAATTGACAACCCTTGCTTTAGGCTTGTCATGCTCATTTTATGACACTATATGGTCCTGCTGAAGCTGAGACCAAAACAGCTTAAAGTTACTCCTACTGGGAACTTGGAACTTGGTGACTTTGGCGACCCCTGAAGTCCTTTATTGGTAGTACTGTACTTAAATGAGCTTTACTAGAGGAACCCCACCACAATCAGTTGGCAGAGCAAGACATGTGCAGATGAACTTGTTGTACTGCAAACTAAGTAAAGTAATAGAAATTTGTTTAAAATATATTTTTCTGATGACACAAGTATTTTCATCAGGAGCCAAACGCTTTCTCATTTGTATTTAGTTATAGCTTTTCCTTTGCTGGTACCTTTTTTTTTTTTTAAGGAAATATGACATGTTTGCAGTTTATGTAGTCAATGACCAGAAAAAAAAGAAACACTGACTTTGTTCAACTCTGACTTATTTTCAGTATATAGGCCTTCAGTGATGTTTTTTGATCCAAGTTACTTCCATGCATTTCAGTGCAGTTGTAACTCTTAGACAAAGGAGTTTGCCACGAAGGTCAGTCTTAGCACTGATTTTCTGTTTACTTGTAAGTGCATATACAGTACTTTAACTTACCTGCTCAATCCATATACCAACGATGTGCAGATGACAAATCCTTGAAACCTTGGTGCATTTTTTATCTACCAGAATGTTTAGTTATGTTTTCATGTCCCATTATGTGTCGGACACATTTTTGCTTGGATGGAAGTATCCTTGACCATAGTTATGTGGTGAATACCGTGGGATACAAACCTTTACGCAGCGTGTTTTAGGAGATACAGGCGTAGTAGGGGAGACTCAATTCTTATCTTGAATAGGTTACAGTCACACACTTTGAATAGCCAGGATACACACATCAAGGGTGTTTTTGATAATTATACCAGGGTTAAATGAGTGATCATACTGAGGTGTAAAAAAAAAAGTGATTAATTCCATTTTTGTTCCTCAGGGCATCACATATGACCATGTGGAGCTGAATTTATATCTGAATGGAAAGAACATGCATTGTCCTGCCTCAGGGATCCGAGGCACTGTATACCCTGTTGTTTATGGTAAGTTTATTTGCCAACTTAATATGCTGATAGTTTACCATGGTTTGATAATGTTGGGATATTTTGTGTGTTCTAATTGAAACAATATAAACATTATTGACTGCTGAAGCATTTTCTCAGAAATAGCATAATGACCGTTACAATTTTATTCCACTAGAGGGCTGTATTTATACATATGTACATAAGTGCTCAATTCGGGCTGTTTTATTTAAAATGGGTTTTTTTTATTTGCATATTAGACCACAAATACATTCCACACATCCAAAAATGATTTATGTGTACTAATCAAAACAAAGCCTTCAGTAAGAAGAATCACAGAAGATTTCAAACATACAGGTCTTCTTCTGGTCAAAGTCTACAGCAGATGATTTTATTGACAGGGGTTTTATCTCTAGTCAGTAAAATCAACTGGCAAAGAAGACATGTGGTCTGTTGGTACTTGGCTGCAGTTTTGCTTGTTTCTGTCCTACAGCAACAGCAAACTGTAAATAGTGACTAATTTGTTGGAGCTTTCTTGTTCAAACATCCTTTGTTTTAAAGCACTGCATCATCCTGGGTGACTTCATAAATATCACCTCAAGCTTTTTTGAGAGATTCATCTTCAGTTGTGCTGTATATGAACGGTAATATCATTAATGTGTAAAGGTCAAGACCTTATTTTGGCTGTTAAGGTTGTCACTTCACTATTTTCTAATAAGCATTTACATAAACTCAACTTCTCTGTAGCAATAGGGACATGCCCCTCTCTCACTTTTCCCACAAACTCTGTGGTTATCCTGTATGTTTTTAAATTAAACCGAGACTCCCAATACAGTAACAATGATGCCATAAAATATTGATTTTCCTATCATCACTCTTTGTGTTAGGTCTATAATTAGACTGAATAAGAACTACAAGCTTTAATTTAGCTGGTAGTAGAAAAGATTTCGCCGAATTAGTTCCATGAGCTGCAGTGACATGGTAAGTAGGGCTGGGCAATGTGGCCAAAAATGTTATCACCATAAAAATTTTGATATTGATAATCACAATAAATATGAAATCAATATTTCTTTCAAGTTTAAAGGCTGAATTTTGCTCCTGAATGAAAGATAAACAAACCAGACAGTTAAATAAACCATTCTTTATGGTCAGAACATGACAAATGCTTGATGCCAAACTTTGGCTCACTTCACATATCTGAGGACATTCAAAAAATTATAATGATACAATCTTTTTTCAACAAATATGCATGAGTAATATCAGAAATCTTTTTTCAGTTATTTTTCCTCAACAAAATACATATCTTAATAGAAAAATTAAATGCTGATTCTTTAGTGGTTCAAAAGAATTAAATTTGTGTGTGTGTGTGTGTGTGTGTGTGTGTGTGTGTACAGAGGAAAATGATTGATAAAGCCCTAAAAATAGTTTTGTTATTCCTCTTTTGCAACAATTTACAACAATGTCTGCTTTGTTTTATCTACACCTCATAGCTCAACTGTCCAGTAGATGCTTCAGAGTTTGCATTGGAGAGCCACTTTCTGTTTTGAAATGGCATTTTAGAAAGGTGTGGAATTACAGTAGCTTATGGGTCTGTGAATGACTTGATTTGGAGAGGAGTGGTTAAAAAGGAGACCTACAAACATCACCTCTGCTCTTGCCACACCTCAAGTAGATGATGTAAACAAAACAAGGACCTGTTAAGTTACTGTGCCAGTTGGTGTGGGGGAGTGTTTGGCCTGGAAGTGATGCTACTTCTCTAGCTGAGAACCAATTTATAAGATTGGTTAATCACCATTACTAACTGTGTATCCAAGGCCAAAGTTGAGTTAATAACATACCCAAAGATTTAAGTATTAACAAGCTTACAAAATGTAACATTGTATACTGAGGGATTGTGTTCAAATAGTTGCTGTTACAAGACATTTGACTTCATGTCAGCAGAACAAATAACCCTGCAGAATAAACAAAGTGTATTTGTTATGAGTAAGAGACAACATTATTTAATTTTAATTTTACCAGAAGAATCCACACCAACACATTACACAAATATAATCAACAGAATGTTTAATGTGTCTCATTTTTTCATACATTTGAAACCTTGTGGTACGTTTGATATTCATTTACCAATCAACCCTGACTATAGACGTATGACATAGCCAAGCGTCGCCCATTTGATGTAATGGAGCAACCAAACTAACATGCATCTTTGGTTTAAATGTTTGACTTAATGTACATGCAGGAATATATATGTGTGTGTGTGTGTGTGTATGTATATGTATATGTTGCATGAATATGATTCATGTGGTGGCATAAACAAACAAAAGTGCTCTGGCTATTTTGCCAACCTGAAGCTTGTTTATTTCAGTTGCCAGTATTCTTAATTATTGATAAAAATGAAATCCAATTTTTCTGGGATGGGTGGGCATTACTGCTTTTGCCTTCTGAAGGGGGGCGTCAGAAAAAGTTTAAGAACCACTGGGCTACAGAGATTCCCCAGCCGACAAACCATGTTCTCCAGACTTGTTTGGTACAAACACCCAGGACAAATCGCATGATCATTTTGAAATATTTTTAGTGAAAATGAAAAAAATATGATACCATAAATTGTGACCATAATTTGTTGTTTTAGTCCTGGTAAACATGTAAAAAGTCTTTAAGCTTGTGCTTGTGTCTTTCCCTTCTCTCGTTCCAGTGGATGACAGTGCCATCTTAGACTGCCAGTTTAGTGACTTCTATCACACAGCTCCACCAGGATTTGAGAAGATCCTCTTTGAACAACAAATCTTCTAAAGGAGCACTTCAGCCTCAGCCCCGGTTCACGTTATCATCCTCCCTTATATCTCATAGCAACCTCTGTGACACTACAGCTTGACCTTGATTGGATACACTCGTTATATGTGGCTTTTTGTTTGTTCCCCCTGATTACACTCTCTCCTGCTGCTCTGGATTGACGTTGGGAGTATCCTTGAATGAAGTGGGGATACTACAGTCTGTGCTGATGGAGACTATCAAATCATTGCCAGTGATTATCACCCTGTATTATCTGAAACACTTTCAGTTGCTGCTTACATTCTCAATCTGTGTGTAAATGCCGTGGACAGTGGATGTAATGGTAAAATGTTCGGGATTTTTCGGGATCAGAAGCCATGTTTTATTTACATTGCTTTATACTTATATTTTTGAATATGTAATCTCTGAAACGCCATACTGACATCTCAGCATACACCCTATATTTATTCGTATTTATTTGAGTCACATATCATTAATATGTTTCTTTGGTATGACAAAACATAGAATTTCTTTGACCAGCATGAGTTTGTGGACTATTAAAGGATCAGCTGTCAGTACTGACACATCAGTTGACAATGTCCCATGCACTTTTATGTTGCCTTCTTTAATAAAAAAAAATAATTTAAAAGTGGGTACATTGCAACACATTTTAATTCAGATGCAAATACGTATTAAATACGCCAATAAAGTAGTGCACATGTTAGGGGAGACAGTTTCAGAGGTATGGTGGGGCGCTGGTGAAATGTATATTAAATGGCAGACACTAATAGATTGATTTCTAAATCACTTCCATGATTAGTTATCCCACACTTTTCTCATCTTGAAATCTTTCTCTGTGTATTTGTTCTAAGTATTAGAAGATAACAGAACTGGTTCTGGCTGGTTAAAAATGTCAATCTGTTGTTTTGTATTGGCATTGCATATCTGCTGCTGAAGTGTGACAGTTCAATATTTCAAATTCTTGCCTCCGTTTGCACTAATGATGTTATTGTACAAGCAAATCCAAATATCGTTGATTCATTAAACTTTCTTGAGGCATACTATGGTCAGAGTCCCATTTTGTTTTTAGGTAGCACATTTCTTATAACTTTTACTGTTAACCAAGTGCGTCACTTTGTGTTTGTGTTTGTGGGGACATTTAAGGGCTTAGATTAGGGGTGAGATGAAACGCTTAGTCCATGAGACGTGATAATGCACAATATTGGGCTCACGAGAACAAGACAAGATGCTATTTAGAAAAAGTATTCACTGATGAATTGGGGTCATGGGAGTCCTACCCCAGAAGATTTTGAGCATTAAACTCTTAATTTCCTGCATTCTGGAGACATTTTCTGCATCAATTTATGGTGGAAATGTATTTATTTATATGAAGCTTCATGTGTGAGGAATTCATGTGGAATATAAAAATATTATCGAATAAAATGTAATCAGCAGCTTGTTTTTTTTAGCCTAAGTTCTTCTAGATTTACATTGCATTTCATGCTTTCCTATTGTGCAAGTAAACCCATCACATTTTTGTTGCAAGTTAATATTCAGAGAACATTTAGCAAATGCTTTCAAAAAGTGGTGAGAACAAAATCAGCCATTTCAAAAAGTGGTGGGGACATGTCTCCAGTGTAAATGTAAATGCTGCACAGTTTCACGTTTGAATATGTATTGCGTGTGGCCAGTACGTCCAAGGTGAATTTATTATTACTGCGACGAGGAAGCCGTGGAAAGCAGGACAACCCATGCAGGAGGTATGCATTAACTCCTCCCCTCGCTCTGCGATCTGTTACGTCCTCCTCCTCCTCCCCCTCTCCGGAGCCAGCAGCAGCCGCACAGGAGCTGCCGTGCCTCTTCTTTCACGGAGGAGATCCCGAAAGCCGGAGTAATAGCTAAACCCCATACAGCCATGGCAGAAAACGCCGGCTTGGAAAACCACCGCATCAAGAGCTTTAAAAATAAGGGACGTGATGTCGAGGTGAGCTGACATATAAATGCGAGTGTAAAAAACACGAATCGAGTTCGTTTTACGTAGAAAACGACAGTCTTTGGGCCTCGTTTTGGAGCCTGGCCCCGGCTGCAGTTGCCAGCCAGCTAGCTAATGTAACGTTAAGCTAGCATGAAGAGTTCGCCATCAAAAGTGCTTATTGGCCTATCTTGATAGCGGCAATTATCCCATGTGATTAAGACACTTTGATGATTGTTATCCAGTTAACATCAGTGGCCTACCAATAATTAGTAGTTAGTCTTTGTAAGCAACATAACAGATGGACCGTGGGTCTTGGGAGAATTAAGGGCAGGTCGCTGTCACTGCCAGCTAACGTTAACTAGCTAGTTGGATGGACACCGGTCGCGAGCGAGGCTGGGCCTGGCCGGCACCATAATCTTGACATTTGCCATGTTTTACAGCCAGCTGAGCTCAAGTAACACAAATACTAACTTGCGAGCGTCACATACATTTGTTATTATTAGTAAAACATCGGGTTGGATTGAATACCATGGTCGGTCCACATCCACCCTAACCAAACAGTGCCCCTCCTTGTTAGCTTGCTAACGTTGTCAAGCAAATAGCTAGCTTATATGGCGAGCCAGCTAAACTGAGCTGCTAGCTAACTTTAAGCCACTGAACAGTTAGCGAAATGGTAATGATGCGATGACCTTAATTTTACGGTCTCCTTTTAAGTGGAAAAACTGCAAATACATTGCCAACTAACCATTTAAGTTCATGAATTTACTGTTTGATTAGAATCCCTCAGTGAGAAATAGGCAGGTTAGACTTGGATAATATTGTGCTAACGTTAGCAATAACGTTGCTATTAATTATAACTTTGTCTAACGTTGTAATGATGTCTCTCATATGTCTTAATGGTTATACTTACACATTTTTTCTAAATAGACATTGCTATATTAATGTAAATGTGAGAGATAATTGTGGTTGCTTTTCTGGCAAGTCATATTCTAGAAAGCACCACCGGTATACTATGTACCCTTCTGAAACGCTCGGCATCACAGTTTCATTCAACTAACGGGTCTAATTATAAATCTCTGTGACAGCATTTGTCTGTAATGCTCGTTGACATGATGACCAAACCATTTGGCAAAGATTGTGTTCACACAAGCTTAGATGAAGCTAACAGTGTTTGACCAAAGGAAGGCGTCAAAGTAACGATCTAAACGGTCTCGTTTAAGGTACATACGTTATACATATATAATGTACCTCAATGCAACTCTCACGAGCCTAGGGGTTTATCAACAAAGGTATGTCTGAAAATGGCCTTCAAAATCCAGCAGGGATTTCAGCATCAGTTGCCTAAAAGCTCAGATTGATGCCTCTTAGGTGATTGTTTTGAAACTTCTAGTCAGTGTGACCAGCACATGGCTACTATGACAGACAGGCTTTGCCAAGTGCATTCCTGATGCTATTTCAGGCATCTTGGAGGTCTGAACTGGGTCCCCCTTAAGAACCTCTGCATGAATTTGAGTTTTCCTAAATGGGTGACTCAGACTAACAGCAGGAACACATGCCAGTTTGGGCTTTATTTATTTAGGTCAGACATAACAGATTGCTCTTAATTTCTGACATCATTAGGAACAGATTTTAATTGCAAAGCAGTAAAGTCTCACATGCTGCAGGGCATAAGGTCCTTCTTTGTTTCCCTGGATATCATATAGAAGGTGCTTAAGTTTAGATTGGTTAAGCTTTTCTTTTTTTTTTTACCCTGAAATGTCATATATTTGTTTCCCTGTCAAATTGCAGGTTTCATAAAGTTTTAGTCTTTGTAGCATATATTCTCTGTTTTAGGAACACTTTGTATTTTGGGTACATCAACCAACAGAATTGCAAAACTTAAGTGGACTGGACTGTAGTCATTCCTCTTGACAGTCAGGCTGGACTATCATATTTTGATGTTCTGCTGTTGGTGAAGGGACATTTTTGTTTGGGTCAATGTATTGGCGTTATTGTTGTTGTGCAGTGGTTGGGAGACACCTCTCTGCTCCGCAGCCTCCTGAGTTATGACTGTCCCAAATTATGTAAGAGGCTATTTAGGAAGGCAACATGAACCTCTTCAAACAGTCACAAGATCCTAGACTATCTCAAACTGTTCAGGATGAACTAGAAACCCAACAGACACACAAATACAGCAATTAGTTTATCTGTCTTTCCTTGCTTGTGCTGTTTTTGAGTTCAGACGTTCAAAATGTGTTGATGGTTTCTGTTATAAGGATTTAGGCACAGATTTATGCTTAAGTCATCCACTTTCCCCATGTTGTTAAAGTTTTTTAGGAAGCTTAAGTAGGAATTGTTTATTAATGAGATATGTAACCTAATGGAAAACATAGAATTTGATATATTTTACTCATTGTACTCTGTGATTTATTAGGTCATTTATCCATGTAAAATGCTGCAATATATATATTTTTCAACTGCAGGAAATGTGTAAATGAATTTCTGAAATGTCAAAAAAACTAAACAAATGTTTCCTCATTTCTCACTGTCTATCTTTTTGTTTCTTTGTTACAGACTATGAGAAGACATCGAAATGAGGTGACGGTTGAGCTGAGAAAGGTGAGAAAAGATGCACCATCTGTCTACACACATACACCAGGCCCCAGTCAAAGTATTATAAATTAATCTCAGATTCCGGAACAGTGCAGTTGAACTCGTTGAGAAAATTGAGCATTTACGGAATTCTTTTCAAGGAAATTAAACATTTTCTGGCTAGCCTTCTAGATTGGATCACGATAGGACATTCAGATCAATGTTCTTTATCTGTCAATGGTTTGTAATTTATACTTGACAGCCACCACACGTCCAAACTGCCTGTCTATAGATATCTCACTTGTAAAACTAAAATGGCATTGTTATATAGTAGCCAAAATGAAGAGTTGGTATAGCCATATTTGCTAGAGAATAAGCAACATCTAATGCTGTTACCAAACAATGGTCTGTTTCAGGTAATTCCACCAAGCTCTCAGAGATTTGTAGACCCAAGACTGAATTTGCTGCAGCTTTTTTGAAAAATTGTGATGCCATTTGCAAATGTGTATTCTGCAGTAAAATGGGGCATTTATTAAAATTGCTTGTCACAGGGAAAACATTTTATTGTTTAAAGAATTTACACATTTTACACATAAATAGTACAATTAGCACAAACAGGCTACAAGGTATTCTACTCTGCATGTATTAAACACTGTATGTTGCAGAATGATGTTGCACTGCAACAAAAGTTGGGCCAGGATCCCTGTTTGTTTGCCAGACTACGGTGTTAGTTGTTTGTTTATTTGCTGCCCTCCCACTGTTCCAACACTGTGATGGAGTTGAAAAGAAAGAGGAGCTACCATTTTGTTTTTCGTGTAGTGCTATTGTCTGGCTTGATTATTGGCCTAAAACATGAACAAAGGGGACATATACTTTAAATATGCATCGGACAATGTGCAGCACATGCAAATAACGTATTTCTTATTATTTTGGTCCTTTACTCTGCTCCATGGGCTTAAAATGAAACAAGGATTATAAGATTAAAATGCTAACTTTCATCTTTAATTTGAGGATGTTTACATCAAATCAACGGTGTAGGAAATGTCGTCATAATTTAGTTTTAAGTGCATATTCTTTGGAATCACTGATTGCCCAAGTCAATGACCTATAACATGCGGGTGTCTTGACTTCTCGCTTGTTGCGGGGGATATTCGTCTTCACTCTGATCCTCAGCAAATGAAATCTATGCTCCGTTGGATTGATGTTTAGCTCAGGGGGCTTTGTATATACATTTTGGATTATTGTACAGCTTCTGCTTTGTGACGGCATTGTCGTAGAGATTTGATGTGAACAGAAATGGCATATGCGTTCATCCTGCTGCCGTCAGCAGTGACCTCATCAGCAAACAGTGGACAGGAGCTGGTTCCACTGGCAGCACCATGGTTTCACAAATGATGCAGTACACCTTGAATCACCGTTTTCTACACACACAATTCTTCTACTCTGCTATGGTGGACGTTTGTGGCATTTGTTACATTACACTTTATAGAAACCCGTTTCACAACTACAGTAACG